GCCCTTTCGCCTGCGGGAGCTCTTTCTGGTCGCCTCATTAAGGCGGTTAATGTCCTCCTCCCCATCGAAGTCAGAGTCTTCACTCTCTGACTCTTGGGGCCTGGCAGCCGAGTTAAAAGTGCTAGAGGGTTGCGCGGCGGCAGCAGGCTGGCTTTTCGTGATGGTGGCCAGAGACGCAGCGGCCATCTCAGAGGCGCGGACTTCATTGAAAGCAGACTGGAAGGACAGGTCTGTCTTGGCCAGTAGCCGCCTCTGGAGCTTGCGATCACGAAGGCTACAGACAATGCGGTTGAGAAGAGCCTCATCGAGGTCCCTGAACTCACAATGGAGGGTAGTAGACCATAAGACAGCAACGTAGGAGCTGACGGATTCCCCCCTCAGTCTGGTTCCTCTGATGGAAGGTGTGCCGTTGGGTGATTTTAGAAGGTGAAGGGGCATAATGGCTTTTCAGCTTAGCCATTAGCACAGGCCACGGGACAGCTTTAATTGGATCAGGGGCTGTGAGAGCCCTGGCAGTATGGAACACATCCGTTCCGCAAACTGACAAGAAGAATGCGCATTTTCGTTCGTTGGTTAGCTCTGTGAGGTTGTGGGTGACCAGAAAGCATTCAAAGCGGGCCGTGTAGGACTCCAAGTCTTGGAGCCATGATTGAACGGTGCGAACGTTAACGTGGCCATTCCTGTCAAGCTGTCAGCGATGTCTCATCGCGGCAGAGAAACACGGTTCTTAGTGACTCAGCTAGTGACTTCAGTGACAGTGACCAGCTAGCTCACACCTCAGTTTGGCAATCCCACCTTCGTCGCCAGTTTTGTGTACCAGGACCTTGGGTAGAGCCAGAAGAACTGAGGCAGAGACGGGAATAAAGAGGCTAACAAATTTATTCCCTGACAATACAGGCTAACAGTAAAAGCACCAGCTTCAGACAGGAACGCGTGCTGCTCGTTTGGACAGCTCCCTTTTTATACNGTGCACCCAAAACTAAAAGATGTCCCACTAAGGCAGCAAGAAGAAGATATGGGAGCAGCTGCATCCTCCTGCCCTTTAGAGACGGAGCGAATGGCTGGCTTGGACTTGGAAGAACGATCCGTTCGGCCCAGATGGACATAGGGAGTGGGACAGAAAGATGACCCCACAGAACCTCTGACTGGAATTACTATGAGGAGACCCAGACGACCAGCGGCTGACTGGCGTGACTCCGAAGAGGAGAACCTTATGATGTCCCAGGTGATGAAACTCTTTGAAGGGGCCTGGGAGAGGTGCCGAGCCCATGAGAGTGGACTGGAGAGAGAAGCCGATCTCCAGGAAACAGAGGGGAAATATACAGAGACTTCGTTTGACCCGAGAGAAGCTGGGGGGCCGAGGGAGGAACTGAGCAAGATGACCCAGCTCCAACCCCAATCACTGCAGTTAGAAACATTCCAAGAGGAGGGGGGCGCAGATGCCGGATGACTAAATTTCCTCCTTTAAGCGTAAAATTTTGGGGGGGAATCAAAGGATTTAGGATTCTTCGTCGTTCAAGTATGGAATTACATGCAAATGTATGGGGATGAATTGGCTAATGATGAAGCGAAGGTAAGAGTTATTACCATGGCTTTGGAAAATAAGGCAGCGGCATGGATGGTGGGCTTGTATAACGCTGATTCCCCACTACTGAGAGACTATAATGGATTTATGGCCGCCTTGAGAAAGCACTTTGATGATCCACTCACAGAGCGTAAAGCAAGAATCAAATTTTGAACTCTTACCTAGGGGAAGAGACCAGTAGCTGATTATATACAAGAATTTCATGAGCTATCAGCCTTTATGAGGGGTTGGTCTGAAGAAGCATTGTTAGACCATTTCACTGATGGGTTAAACAAAGAAATTTACCAGCACCGCATGAACCGGAGGCCCCCCTCTCCCCCTGGTAGACTGCAACCCTGGTATGAAGTGGCTGCTGATGTGGAGATTGACTTAGCCAGGGAGAATTACCAGGAAGATAGTGAGAGCGAGAAACCCCCGCCTGCCAACCCCCCCCAGGAGCCCCAAAAGGAGGGAAAAGTGGGTCTGCAAGCAAACCAAAACCCTTCGTGTGTTTCCGCTGTGGGAAGGAGGGGCATCGCGCCACAAATTGCCACACTAAGATGACCCAAAAGCCCCATCCTCAGAGAGAGAAAAAGCTGGAAAAACCTCCCAGCAAGAGAAAAGAGGATATCCTGAAGTTATTTCAACATTTGGCTTCCTGCTAAGAATGCAAGGTGACATCAGTGCCAANAATAGACAAGAGACATGACAAGGATAAATATTAGATCACCAGTACATTAAAAAATAATAGCAGGCCAAACAAAGAACAAGACCTGGTAATGGCTAAGAGCAGGAAAGTTGAAGAAAGAGACAGAGGGGTTAATTCTGACTTCACAAGAGCAAATGCATACCAAGCCAGAATTAAGAAGACAGCTATAACTTTAACTTAACTTTAACTTTTAATAGATTTATATGCCGCCCAATCCCATAGGACTCTGGGCGGCTAGCAAATGCCACCTCTGCAAAAAAGCTGAAGAAATAGAGGGTCCACCTACTTAGCTGCCTCAAGAAGATGACACAGACTGACTATAAACAATGGCATGGCAATGTAGCAACAATGGTAGGTACATTGGAAGATCTGCAAGAAATACCATTTGCTTGCAAGCAGCAACTAACTGGACCCTCAAATAGACGAAGTGATAGAAAACGAAGAAGCTAAACTGCTCTGGGATTTTACGGTTCAAACAGACAAGCACCTGCCACACAACAGCCCAGATTGTCAATAAGAACATGAAAGTCTATCTGGAGAGTGGATGTGGCAGTAGCCCGAGAAAGAATTGAAGAGAAATAACTGGAGAAAATCACAAAATACAAAGACCTGAAAATAGAAGTAGAATTATTGTGTCAAAAAAAAACCAACAACAACCCAGATAGTATTCAACAACAATAGAGGTCTTGGAGGCAATCACTTGACCACCACTGGCATTGACAAATTACCACCAGTCATTTACAAAAGGCAGCTTTACTTTCAACCACTTATATTCCGAGATGACATCTTCGACAGCATCAAACAGCATCTGTCTATCCCAGGTCTTTGGGAAGGACTCAATAGGTGGATAAAAATGACAAATCCAATTTAAACTTGTCTGACTGCGCGATGAACCATGATGATTTATTGTATATTATAATTCCTTATTTCTTTATGAGTGCCACACCCCAAAATCTTGTCAGAACTTAATAAATTCTGCATTATGACACCCTAGGTTCTTAAGAAGAATATGAACGAAGGTCAACATGAATAAAAGAACTGCCAGCAGTTATTCCATGTTGAATATATTCCATATATTATATAGATTTATACGCCACTTAACTCCCAGTGATTGAGGATATTTTACAATTGTTAAAATTTTTAGAACAAAGCTATCCAGGGTGAACACCAGTGTCACTGCGCTGGAGGTAAGGCTGCTGCCACGCATCCTGCACGTCCCACGGGACACCTGGGCACTGTTGAAGAGGCTGCCCAACCCAGGAATATTAATAAAGTGAGCAAGCCTCGGTGGAAGTAAAAGGTGATCTTTTTTAATTTTGTTTTGGGAAATTCGATCAGGAGAGAAAGAAGAACATGTCCAGTCCCAAGGAAGACTGAGTCTAAAAGCTAGGAGGAGCTATCAGAGGAGGCGGGACATTGAAGTTTGCAGACTCAGTCCAATTGGATAACAGATGGAGTTAACCCATTCCTGGGCGCTATCTCCACCAACAATGGAGAATAGCTCAATTATAATCCAATGGCAGAATTTGACTGGCAAATTAGGAGAGCCAATAAATACAAAGGAGAGCAATGAAACAGAAGATGCTAGAGAAACGAGATAGAACAGTTCTCTCTATATGCATCTTTATATTTCCTGGGTCAAAATGAAAAGATACTTTAAAATGTTCCGAGATGAAAGGGGACCTATATATAAATATTAATGGAGCAGAGGTGGGGTTCGGCCTGGTTCGGGTGAACCAGTAGTGTTGGCGGCAGGAAGAACCGCCCACCTGCCCGGACACATCTGCGAATGCGCAGAGCATCGCGTGCACATGAACGAACTGGTAGTAAAAAAAAATGGAAACCCACCACTGTAATCGAGTCATTTCTACTGAAAAGGTTAGCAAAAGCAGTCACTGTTTTACTAACAATTCTACAAAAGCATCTCACCTGTGTAGACACACATTTAAAAGTCCTAAAGCAGCAACTGTTGGAGTAGATGCTTTGAGGACCAATCCAGATGCCACATTGCAAAGTAGCTTGGTGAATTATTTTCAAACTCGTAGTCAGCTTTCTTTATTTAAGACCCATTCTACTGACCTCTTTATGCATAAATGGGACTTACGAACAACCAATTTATATACTGCTGTTATATAAACTTTTGATGACTGAACATTTGCAGAACCACTGCAATAGTTGGACCCTTATACAGGAGCAATATTTTCTCCCAAATTCATCTAATTATACAACAGCAATCCTTTTAGATTTTGTAAATAAGCTAAAACGTTGCAGCAGTTGTTTATTCTAAAAGAATGTTGGAAAACGTCACATGCTGCAAATTAAAAGTTGTAAAATGGAAATTTTATGAAATATAAAACAGAAAGAGTTCTTCTTTAGTGGCTTTCCAAAACATTTCAAACAATAGAAAGTGGATAAATATTACACATATGCTTTTGTTTTTCACCTAAACTCAGCAGCATTGATAGTAAAAGCATGAACCTCTCAGATTTGTTGAAATTCAAGGGAAATGCCTGAAATAAACGAAGAGAAGGTGAATAAATTTAGCACTTAGACTTAAAAACCAAACACGCATCAAGTTTTTAAAAAACAAACCTTTTTCAACATCTTGTTTTGCTTATGGAAGAATTCCACCTTGATATCACCACATACTGGCAATGGCTGAGGGAATTCAAAGTACATGTATTTGTCTTCACGTTTTGTAGGTCCTGAAGAGGAGGTGAATATCTTTACCTTGAGCTGGTAGACCACAAAGTGAGGATCTGTGCAATAAAACAATTTTACACAATGAGGTTAGAGAACCATCTCAGTTCTAAAAGAATTGTAACAGTAAACAAAGCACACAGATACACACAAAAAACAGTTTTAAAAAGACTTTGGACAAAACTATCTAGTATTGCTTACATTATGCTATAGTTATACCCTATATTAATAACTTGGGAAAACTCCAAAACTGCTCCTGTTGCTTCCATATCAGCTCAGCACAAAAAAATGTTGGTGTGAGATTTACCTTCTGTAGGAAGATAATATACTCATCCCTCTGGAATGACGTCCCCGTGGCCCTCTGGAATGACCTCCCCGTGGAGATCCGGACCNCAGTATATAAGTGACTGTAAAATGGAATGTGAAAATGAATAACATATATATTTTAAAAATATATATAAAATAGAGCAAAACTCACAATAACTATCTTATTTAGCAATGGAATTTTTGGGCTCAATTGTGATCATAAGTCAAATATTACCTGCTATAGACCATACATTAGAGATAACAGTTGTACAAAAGCCTGAGAATTAAAGTGTTAAACAAACGTTCTTTCAAACCAGAGCAGAGGCTTCAAACCAGATGATGTGAAGTTGCCTCATCTGCACAGAATAGTATCTGTTTTCCAGGTGGATAAAGCAGAAACTGCTTTCAAATGAAACTGGATTGTGTATCATGTATATATGCTAAGCCTAAATTTATTGAAATATACAATATAAAAGCCCTGGTTTTGGCATTCTAGATAAAAAGCAAAACAAGCTATGATATTCAGATCTAGATAAAAACAATGTCGCATTAGATAGGAAACAATAATGGCACACATAAAAATGGAAATTGTAGAAGGGATGAGAAGATCCTAGTGAGAGAATCTGGCTTTTTTTAGAACTGCCTGTGATTAATCTGTAGCAATGAACAAAAGCATTAAACTCTTCTTCAATCAAAAGAGAGATATGATTTGGAGTACAGAATACAGAAATGTATTCTTTACAAAAATCAGCTTGTTGTTTATATAATGCTTATGTTGTACATTATATCAAGGTGTAGTGTCCATAAGGCATGAACAATTTAGTTGGGTTTGATGTTATGATCCTATCACTCACCACTCAATGGGTGTTTATTGTGCACTCCTAAACTCATTTGATGGACTTTGAAGATGGAAAGAATATTGATGCTTTGAACTTTGATGTTAGATAACATTCTGAGAATACCATGGGCAGTCAAGAAAACAAACCAATTGATCATTGAGGAAATCAACCAAGAATTATCACTCAAAGCAACAGATTACCAGGAATTACTTCCAAAATGTTATGCAAAGACCCAGCTCTGTGCTGGAAAAAGCTGGAAAGAAAGAGAAGAAGACAATCAGGAGCAAGAAAATTATAGTGGTGATTAGTGCATCTTTGGAAGATCTAAAAGACCATATCAGAGCTAGATTGTCATAGACAAAATCTGTGTGGTTTCCAGGCGACAGAAATAACATTAGCACATAATCAATCAAAGTCATTTGAATAGTAATATTGTTATTCACATGCCCATTCTATCAATGTTGCTTATTGCAAGCCAAAGGGGGGGGGGGGAATCTCAAAGAAAAAACAATGATAACATTTCACAGAAAACCACAGTGTTTCAGGAGCAAAATTTTCAAGAATGAATTCCTTGAGGGTAGTGAAATGAATAGTACTATAGTTATGACATTTTCATAATTCCTTTTCATCTATAAATATATAAAGTGGTTCTAGGCAAATGAACTCATGCTGGTGTTATTTGACATGTGTTTTACCCCAAATATTTGACCCATGCCATTTTTATACGAATCTCATATTTTCTCCTGTTGTTAAATTTGCATGACAAATCACATCTGCCCAATTAATAACAAAACTTCCAAAGCAGACATTTTAAAATGCAATGCAAAAGTTTTCTGAGCAGAACTGTGTCAGAGCATTCAAACACAGGGGGCTAATTAGATGCCGATCTGTTCATCAGGTCAGGCAATCTACATCACTTCCATTCATAAGAAGAGTTTGTAATGACTGCATTGCTTTTTCCAAAGCTAGTTGAAGCAAATTGGTAAAGCAAATCCCAGCACAAATAATAGACCATGCATACATACATACATACATAGCAGTGACGTGCAGTCAGGGGAGGCAGGGGAGGTAGGGGAGGCAGGAGCGGCCAAAAGCCTCTTTCTTGACAGCGGGCAAAAGCCGCTTTCTTTCTTTTGCCTAACCAGCCATAAACCTCACCGGACGTCATTGAACATACCATACATACATTACATACATTACATACATAAAGTTTCTGGTGAAAGGAAACTTTGTGTCAGGGTAAGCCTCCATCCTTATTGAGCCTGGCATCTTATGACACTTTTTTTGTTATATTCTTGTGTGTATAATACTATTTCTCTGCTTTCTCCTGCCTCAGAACTGGTTGCTATTACAATGAATTGTGTGAAGTTTGATTAATTATCTGACATATAAACCTTGAGGCTGATCTAAAAGCAGGAACTCCATTACACTACATTCATTCTGGATGCAGGCCATGCTGTTTCAACCAGCAAATGAACTAGTTGAAGCAAATTGGTAAAGCATATCCCAGCACAAATAATAGCCAGTTCTGTTCTTTACTCAAAGTAAGCAGGAGGTATTTGGAGTCTTCTCCCAGCTGCAAAATTCTGGTTCATGCTTTCCTTTTGCTAATTGCATCCTAGCAACCAAGTCCTTGTCCCATCCCTATCTGGGCAGATAAGTGCTTGCCCAATAGTAACCATCCAGTAAGTGGTTTTTAACCATCCGTAAATGGTTTGATCACCTGGAGAGGATGTCTTGTGATTCTATACTATATAAGACCATGATGGCGAACCTATGGCACACAGAGCCATTTGTTAGGGGAAGCAAGGCGTTGCCCTGTGAGCTCCAGCGTGTATGCACACACTGGTCAGCTAACTTCAGCCTTCCTTTTCAGCCATTTTTCTCCCTCTGAAGGCTTCAGGGAAGCCTCCTGAAGTCTCTGGAGGGCCTACGGGGGTGGTGGGGAGGCTGTTTTTGTGCCCCCCCCAGGCTCCTAGAAAGCCTCAGGAGTCTGGGGAGGGCAAAAACTGGGTCCATCGTGTGCTAAAATTGGGAGGGGACGGCAGAGGTTGCCCATGCATGTGGGGGAGGGGTGGTCGCATGGGCATGAGCTCTGGATCTCATGCACATGCCTTCTGGGTCGCACACATAGCATTATGGGTGTGGGCACGCCCACACATGACCCCCCTGAGTTCCCCCCACTTTTGACACGTGATGGGAAAAAGGTTAGCCATACATTCATTTTGTATATAGGCATACAAAAAGAGGAGAAGGCCAATTAACAAGAGGCAGACCCAGAAGAAGATGGAGAGACAGCATCAAAGACACAGTACAACAGCATCAAATAACAATGGTTGAGGCTGCCAGAAGAGCAAAACCCAGAGCATTGTATCTCCTGAGGAGGAGGAGGAGGAGGAAGATTATTTTCTATCAATTTGAAGTTAACTAGATTTGATTAGATCTAGCCCATGTGTGTCAAACTCACTGTGTCATGTTGCTGTCACCTGACGTATCACGACATTCCTTTCCTTTGCAGAACTGGGGTGGGCATGGCCTGCATGCGTGCCACCAATTTGACACTCCTGATTAGCCCATATTTGCACATGAAGTCTCAGTAATGTTGATCAGTAAAAGCAAATAAATGACACTCTCTAAGCCAAGGGGAAAAAAGTCTAACATGTAGATTACAACTAAGAGAAAAAGAATATGAATTTGGAGTCCAGCATGGTCTATTCCAAATAAGTATTACTTTGAGATATAAAATTATCCATTGTGTGTGATATTTCTAAGTTTGCAAAATTTCTCAGCATTTTGAATTTACCCAAATAATATAGCTGAACCAGTAGTGGTATGGCAGACTGGGTCACTGAAACTGGCAGTGACCCAGTCTGCCACGCCCCTGAACCAGTTTCCCAATTGCCGCCATTGCCACTGCCATCTTGTCTTTGAATTTTACGCATGCGCAGAACAATTTTAATTGAACTGCACATGCACACACACACACACATGCAAAGCATGCGCATGGCCAAGACCCATCCCTGACACACACACACACACACACACACACACACACACATATACACAAACACACATTTCTGTGTGTGTTCTTGTCAAGAATCCTTTGTGGGGGATGAAGGGGTAATTACATCTGCTTGTTCTCTTATGATTATTGCTGTATTCTTTTTCTCAGAACATATTTGACCGTGCATCAACCACATTGTCTCCAAGACTCTTGGGAATTATAATTTGAGATTTCAAATTCTATAATATATAAATATTCAACCCTTACACCCGACCTTCTGCCCATCAGTGATTGCTCAAACAGCCTAAGTAGCTATTAATATCTCAGCAGGGCACAGCAAAGGTTTAGCTTGATTTTTTCAAACAGCAGGATTTATATTTATTATTGTTGACATTTTCTGAGGTCTAAAAGCCGATTACAGATCTTTTTGACCCAACGAGAAACTTAACATTTTGTTACAGCAGGTAAGAATATTTGTCTATCTTGCACACCATTTTTAATTTTGATTGAAAGAAAATCCTAGATAGGATCTTTTCCTTGATTAGTTGATACTTTTAACTGGCTAAAGCAACAGGCTAAAGTCAGTCATGTGCCTGTGAGTTCTAGTCCCACCTCAAGCATGAAAGCCAATTGGATGGTTTGGGGCCAGTCATTCTCTTTCAGCCTAACTCACCTCACAGGGTTGTTATTGTGGACAAAATAGGAGAATGAAGTATTGTATTTTTTACCAGCCTATTTATCAAAATAATAAAGGTGGGGTATAAATTAGCAATTTATACAATTAAATAATATTAAAACTGAGAATTTCGGTACGCCAATTTGGAACCTGCTCTCTTCCTGAAATCTTGACAGTTTTCTAAGATGTGGGCTTGCTAACAATAATTGTGATGGCTTGTAAATTTTATACATG